TATTTTAAGGTGGAAATGTACGATGCACAATAAATGATTGTCCTTCAGCATTTGGTTCTTCTAGAGAATGGCTCAGTCACTTATGGGGAAAATGCACATAAATTTTGAAACTCGCCATTAGTAATAGAATAATGCTAAGGGAAGTCACTCTTATATTTATTTCATATATAACATAAGAATAAAATGTTCGTAAAAAAAATGAATTTTTATATTTTTTATAAATAAAAAAAAGAAAAAATAAAAAAATATTATCAATGTAAAAATTGATGTTAATTAAAGTTTTATTTTTTTAACAATATTAACTTAATGAATTAATATATTTCTGGTGACTTGACCAAACAACTTCAACAATAGCTAGCTACTCGACATTAAAAGATCATACAGGTATCTTCAAGATAAGGATAAGGATGAAGCTTTCATAAATATGGAAAAATTTCATATATGAATTCAGAAGTCGAGCACGACATCATTTGCATGGAAATAAGTAATTCATCACAGTGTTCTGAATCTCAGTGACTTTGATAGTTAAAACACATGTAACTATAGTAATAGGATTTTGCCAAAGCTTTTCCCTAACAACACAAGACAACATGGACTCTCATAATCCTTACATAAAGACGGCTTTCTTAAGGAATATCCAAATACTGTTATGCATGCATGCTTAAACCCTAATGTTTACCCCCACCTCCTCCTCCTCCCACACCAGAACCACTGCCGGAACCATGCCCACCTCCTACCCCAACTCCAATGCCAATTCCGATGCCAAACCCTCCACCGCCTCCATGACCGCCGCCGCCGCCTCCACCTATACCTCCACCCCCGCCATGACCTATACCACCACCTGCACCAAAGCCTCCGCCGTGACCAGAACCTCCTCCAATTCCTCCACCGCCACCTCCTCCAGCACCACCACCACCACCAATTCCTCCTCCTACACCACCTCCTGCACCAAAGCCCCCACCATGACCTGAACCTCCGCCTATTCCACCCCCTGCTCCACCACCACCTCCTCCTCCACCACCACCTCCTCCTCCCGCTCCACCACCAACACCACCTCCTATACCACCACCAGCACCAAATCCTCCACCATGGCCTGAACCTCCTCCCAAACCACCACCACCACCACCACCTCCTCCTCCTCCTCCCCCTCCACCTGCTCCACCACCTAAGCCTCCACCAACACCACCACCAGCTCCAAACCCTCC